ATAAAATCCCTAGGGATCCAGGGAGCTCCAGTTTAAGAAAGCCTTATATTATATCAGCAAGCATAGTGTTGATGCATAGTATTGTAAATAACTGAATAAATGTTTGGTAAATTGAATTACAAATGAATATATGTACTAGCATCCTGTTTGAGTCAATTATGAAACCCATAGCTGTTATTAAAGGCTTCATATACAATCTAGATCCAGCCTACATGTCAAACCTTATCTTTTCCTGCTACCTGGAGTGAGCCCTCCACCCCAGGCAGAAGGTGCTACTTACCTGTCTCTTAACAGGCCTGTGCATTGCTGTCTTTTTATTAGCTTTAATATGATATCATAATAAATTCTTATAAAATTGAACAAACCCAAAACATTAGATACCAATGTATGCCTAGGCAAAATAAATATTAAGTACAAAAATTGTTAAAAATTACTAACTTACTTTCCAGCTAGGTAAATTGCTTAATCTTCATCTGAATTTAAAAAATTTTTTAATTATTCTCTGTAAAATAATGTTAGTAGTAAAAATAATACTAGCTAACATATACATGGTACTATGTACTAAGTACTATTCTAAGCACTTTATCTATTTTGATTGCTTTCACCCATGCAATATCTGTATCAGGTAAGTGTACAATATCATACGTACATTTACATATGAGGAAACTGAGCTGTGAGTAGTTAAGCAGCTTGCCCAACATAGTACAGCTAGTTGACTTCAAAGTTCATCTTCTAAACCATTAACATGCTCCCTTTCTGTAAGGAGAAAAGAATTGATGACAGCTGAACATGACTAAGCATGTTGCAGTGTGGTACAGTAGCTTTGAAAATGTGACCTGTAGACGTTAATAATGTACAAAGAACCATAGAAAAATACACAAGTGAGTTTAGTGTGTTTTAAAACAGTGAAGCGTAATAAGGCTAAAAATGAAATGAATGATCTCTTGCTACTTAATGACATAATATATCCTAGGAAAAAACTTGAATATATAACATTACATGAGTATCTTTTCTTTTGTGTATCTGTGTTAGAATGACGCTTTTGTCAAAATGGATGGGATAGGGTAATAGAATAGAGAAAGGTATGCTCTTAGCCTGAAAACCAAAATTTAAACTCAACATTCATACTTCACATGAATGATCTCCCACTCACACAAAAATTCCCTTTGTTTTCTCCATAACTGGGCTAACAGTGTTACCACCTGCCCACCTGTAATTTTGGTTAAACCTCACCATCATCTTTTTCTCTTCTCTTGCACACTCCTGGACTAGATCTGTCAGTTCCAGCCTCGACACTTCCCCCAAGGTCTCCTGGGCCATTGCCATTGCCTCCTGTCTGGTTCGCCCTTGACCTGGTCCATTGTTCACACCAGTTGGCTTCTTCCTGAAACAGATCTAATCATTAGATGCTTCTGCGCAGAAGCTAGTGAGCACTCTCCATTACCTACCAAATGGAGTCCAGGACCCTGCAAAATCTGTATGTAACCTGCCAACCTGCTGAGCACCACCACAACCCCATCCTCCAGCCTCCCAGGCTTCTGGAAATTCCCGGTCCACCAAGCCTTCTCTATCTTGGCTCTGCCATCACTCATCTCCTCACTAGGAGACCTCCCCGGTGCCCCCTTCTCCACCTGGTCTTCAGTGGCCCACCACAAGGGGAACTTAGGGAACCTTCCAATCTTCTTATTCAAAATTAGCATTTAGTCTTAGGGGGCTCTTAATGCACTTGGCTTATATTTCTTTATAAAATATATTTCTTTATAAAACACTTACCAGGTTTTATTTTGCTTAATCAGGCTTATTGCCCTCAGGGTTATAGGGTCCATCTTGGTATTTTTCAGAATTTCTGGTGCCTTGCCATACTAGGCCCTTATTAATAACTGTTTCTTGACCTTGGATAGAAAAAGGTAGACATGACACAGACAAAAATGCTGCTCTTTTTCAATTTAAACATAAAAGACAAGTAAATGTGTTTTGTTTTCAATATAAATAAGAGAGAACAAAAATCATTAAGAGCAAATATTCTCCATAATATCTTGTTTCCCCTTCAGAACCAATTGGATTAAAGAATACTTGGACACAGCTCCTGTTTTGATTCTCATTTTCAAACAAGTATACGGTTTTGCTGCAAACGGCAAAAGGAAGGTCCACTACTACAATGAGATCAGTGTTTCCATCTCTTGCGGCATCCTCCTAGCTGCCCTGCAGGTATGTTACCCTCCCACTGGCTCAAGAGACAGAAGTGATTCTTGGGGGCCAAATGGTGGCCTTAGGCACAAATTTCAGCTGAGTTTCTAGTTCAGGGATGTTTGGAAATTGTTCATCTAAAGCTGAAATCCTAAGGAAGGTAAATCCTATGTGAAAACTGACTCTGGAGAAATGCAAATCAAAACCACAATGAGATACCGCCTCACTCCTGTCAGAATGGCTATCATCAGTAAATCAGCAAACAATGTTGGTGAGGATGCAGATAAATGGGAACCATTGTGCACCGTTGCAAATTGGTGCAGCCACTATGGAAAATGGTTTGGAGGTTCCACAAAAATTTAAAAATAGAATTACCTTATGACCCAGCAATTCTACTTCTGGATATTGACCCAAAGAAATCCAAAGCACTAACTCAAAAAGATATATGCACCCCCCAATGTTTACTGCAGCACTATGCACAGTAGCCAAGATATGGAAACAATCGAAATGCCCATCAATAGAGGGTTGGATAAAGAAGAGGTGGTACATATATACAAGGGAATATTATTCAGCCATAAAAAAGAATGAAATCTTACCATTTGTGACAATAAGGATGGACCTAGAGGGTGTTACGCAAAGCAAAATAAGTCAGACAGAGAGAGACAAATACCACATGATTTCACTTACATGTGGAATCTAAAGGACAAAATAAATGAACAGACAAAACAAGAACAATGAAAATAAATAAATAGATAGATAGATAGATAGATAGATAGATAGATAGATAGATAGATAGATAGAAAGAAATTGACTCTGGAAACCTGGATGGGTGAGTATGTTGGTTCAACAAACTGGAATTCTTTCTGGAAATTAACTTGTAACATCATCTCAGGGTCAGAAAAATAGCTGTTGTGTTTGCCTTCATCTGCAACGACTTGAAGTTCAAGGGTGTTGGCAGACACACATGAAGAGTTGCAGAGACTGGAAGTTCCAGGGACTGATTTCCTAGCTGTATTTGCTGTTGTCTGAGTCGATGGAGTGATTAAAAAGCTATAAGGAAGACTCTATCATACAGCACCTTCCCTGAGAAGTTTACTTTGTATTGCATTAGAAAGATGTCCATGTGCTTAAAAAAATTCTGCTTGTATAGTAGCTAGAACAATGCTAACCACGAAATAGAGCAGACTGAGGTATGCCTTGCACATGATTCCCTCAACAAATGTTTTCGGAGCTCCACCTAGTGACAGATCCTAGGAAGCTCCAGAAAATAGAAACTTCATGAACTGGACATTCCATAGAGGACTGGGGTCCTGAGTGGAGACAGACAGTAAACATGTAAAACAAATAAAGCAAACGAGACTATAAGAGCGGCGGTCACACTTTCAAGGGACAATTGATTCCAAAACACTGTGTGCTTCTTTACTATTCAAACTTTATATGCTGAAAACACCTTGCAAAATATAGTCAATTGTTACGCAGAAGAGGAATGGATTACTTGAAAACTTGCCCTAAAGGATCTGGTATCTTATTTCTTTCCTGATTCTGTGTGTGAATAAATAATGGAATCACCATGCCACATCAGACTGCAGGGCACTTCCATCCATTTTAGGGTCCCAGAAGAAGCAGGTTAGTCCTGGAGTGAGCTCAGCTCACCAAGTGGCTTCCGTGCCTTGGTATCAGCAGCCTTTTTATCACTGTAGTGTTGAGTTTGCTATCCTCTAGCTTTCCATAGGCACATTGCAGAGTGTAGGTCATGATTTGTGAGGGAGGACAGAGAACTCTTCCTGAAGTCCCTACCTGGACAGATTGCATAATGACTGGAGTTGTGCAGGACTCTCAAAGCCAGTTCTAGAACTTTCTGCTCAGGCTTGGGAGTGTCGATCTGGTTGGAAAAGCAAGGGGGATGGAGAGGGTCAGCAGGGGAGGTGTCTTGAAGCCACACATGATTTATATTAGATGTTTATTATCTGGAGGGGCTTTAAGGGGTGTTAATAGAATATTTCCTGTATTCCAACGTATCTCCTGGCCACTGGGTCCTCTATCACTGGAGGTCAGTATTTTTAGATGGGGATGATACTTTGTGTCCATGGTTGGATATATGATCATAAGAACTGCCTGTTGTTTTTCTAAAATCATTCCTTTGGTGTAGCTGGAGTCCCCAAATTTCTTTCCATGAAATAACTATTCCTATTTCTTGAGCAGTAATGAAAAATAGGACTGCTGTTTTTCTTTCGAGAAGCTTCCCACAGTTTGGTTCAAAGAAAGTGGTGTCTGGGGAGGTTGAGGAGAGAGTGGTTAAGATTCAAGACACTCCTTGCCCGAGCTGGCAGCTTCTTTGCTACCCAGCTTCAGGGACATGAAGGAACAGGCGGGTCTAACAGGGACTAGAATGTCCCCAGGCTGGAAGCTGAGCCCTGACTCTGCCTGCTGACTTTCAAACGTGTTCTTTCCCTCTTCCGTTTTAGAATGCAGGACTGGTGACTGTCACTACCACTCCTCTCAACTGTGGCCCCCGTCTGAGGGTGCTCCTGAGCCGCCCCACAAATGAAAAGCTGCTGATGCTGCTCCCTGTGGGGTACCCCAGCAAAGAGGCCACAGTGCCTGACCTAAAACGGAAACCTCTGGACCAGATCATGGTGACTGTGTAGGCAGGAGAGCAGCAGGAAGATGCTGGAAGACCAGGCCCCTGCTCCCCGCTCCTGGTCGTCTTGGGTCCATGGGCTGCTCTTTCTCTGGGTGGTAGTTGTCCCCCACCCGCACTCCACTTCACAGTGGGTGCCCACTCTGTATGTCAAGAAACCTTCCCACCGTCTCCGGCACTTTGAGCTTGAGGCTCCTGCTTCTGGTAGACAGATACGATTAGGTGAACATATAGAGTAAGAGGTCAACAGGTGTGTTCTCTTCCAGTTTTCATCCTCTGGAGAATTGCATTAACATTTTACTAAGAATGTGCTTCGGTTTTTAAGTTTTTAAAATTATTCCAGAAAAATCGCTGGTGATTTTTTTTCCCTTTTGCTTTTAAACGACTCATATAGAGAAAAGAGTCATCAGAAAATTTAATGTGGTCCCAGGAATTCAGCTTGGTGATGATTTTTGAATTGAAACTTAGGCTAATCAGGTGGCTTTCTGCCCATGAATTTCTGGTGGCTTTTAGGCAAAGGATCTGCTTTTGAGATATAGTCTTTTACTGAACTTTATAGATATTCTTCCAGTTTTGAATAAGTAACCATGGAAATAATTAAAATGTCACACTCACAGAGCAGAACAGTGCACGCTTGAGAAGATGGGATGAACTGGCAACCATCTGAACATATAAATGGTTAGTTCCACACTCCAGGGGTGTGTTTTAGCTGGCTCACACCAGCTCGTGGAAGCTGATTGTTAAATATTCAGGAATTCTGTGAGCCAGTTATGAAACCATTTGCATACTGAAATTACCAGTGGTGGGGGTATTCACACAACCACAATCGGCAGACACTGCATATCAGGGCATGTTTTCTTTTCCTTAAAGAGAACTCTTTTCCATCCTCAGCACTAACTGTGTCTCCCATGTTTTCTACTCTCCCCTGAAAAACACACTTATCTCTTCTCTCCAGATGGCAGTCGAGCTGTTCAGAGCTGATGGGGTCACAAGGTGTTAGGATGGGAATGCCAGACCTAGTCTTTCACCCGTCATCTTCTGTCTTCCCTTCCAGGGAGACTTTACACACAGGCACACTCATAGCTCAAATAATTGTTCGTCAACTCTAATCAAGCACCTCTACTCACCTCTTTGTCCCCTTCCACTGTCCATTTTCTCATCTTTTTTTTTTATACTCGGTTCCCTCAAGAAAATCTCTCCTTCCATCCCACTTGTGAGCCACACGACTGCAAGAAAAGCCCTTCATGTCATCGATGTGTCAGAGCTGGTGGCAAATCTGTATCAGAGACAAAGAAGACTGTTTTTTTTAATATTACACATTAAATATTACAAAGACCTGTGCCCTCAACCTTCAAAGTCCTTTGAAGTACCTAAAATCCTCTTTTAGAATCTCCAAAATCTTCCATCTATATCTTATTTTTCTCTAAACATGCTTTTCCCCAAGTCTACACATTTTAATACAAATTTTCTTATATTGTATTTCTATTCTTTTTGTAAAAAAAAATCATTAGTATTGTGGAAGGTATTTTTCCTATCCTCTTTATTGTAAATGAGCATTGCTTTAACTACATGTGGCTTTATTAGACTTACATGGGCTTATGTGGGAACCTAACCATTGTACTTCATATTGTTTTTAATAGGAAAAAGATACTCTCAGTTCCAAATATGAGGATAATAAACACACTTTGGCATCACAGTGCAACAAATTGAAGTTATATTTGTAAACTTTCCTTTATTGCTTATGTTTAGAGGCTGTTTGAGCCCAAGGAGCTCTTTGCTAGTTTTAGTGTACCCTCCTCAGCAGCTGAAATGTACAAGAGAGCCTTGCCTCCTGGAGTGTGAGGTGGAGAGGGAATTGACTAGTGGTGGGGGTACAGTCATTCACGTACAGAGCCTCTTGAGAGGAAAGAAAAGTCCAGAGTGCACATGAGTCAAAGGCCCTCGAGGAAAAGATTGCAAAGGCCTGGCCACCCTCCCAGAAATACAGCCCTGATTTTTCATAGATGCTGAACCAAAGGTACAAAGCACAGATTGGGGACAGGCTACAGCTAGCTTTCTCTTTGCAGGGCGGAATTAATATACAGCACAGCATAGAGGGACCTGGATTCAAGTTTTTTCTCTGGTATTCACCAGCTCAGTGGCCGTAGAAAACGGAATCTAAACCTCATTTTCTTCATCTGTAATGTGAAGATAAACGTAGTACTTACCTAGGGCTATTGTGATGACTGAATGTGATAACTCACATATAATTCCTGTCATATAGATAGGTAACACTTAGTATTAGTTTCTATTGTTGGCTTCTGATATTAGTAGCAGTATTATTATTACTATTATTAATACTAGGTGTTATGCACATTTGGCCAAAACAATAAAATGGCACCCTTTAAGAGTCTTGTCCTTAGTGCACTAACTCATCTAAAATATAAAATAAATGCATCTACTATCTCAGCTTAAGCCTGAGCTGTTTTAAGGATTTAGGTATGACTTTAGCTGTATCTGGTTGGGTCTTATTTGGCCACCTTGCTGATGTCACTCCCCTCATTATATTTTTATTTTAATGTTTCTGTGTATTTGGTTTTTCTTTTTTAAAGTAAAAAGCTGAAAGAAGAAAAAAAAATACTTAGAATTAAACCTGAGTAGAATGTTACAGGTACATAAGCATTCCCTTCAGCAACAGAAACAATTTTCTAAAAATGCCCCTAAGTCCATCATTAGGTTTAGAGATCTACTGACGGCACCAGAGTTCACGTTTATTTCACTGGATTATCTTGGAGTGTCCTCAAGTAGATATATTTAAGCTGTGAGAATGGGAACCGTAGGAGAAATAAGGCCCAAGGTTCAACTTGCTTGCAGGGAGCTTATTGGGTAGTAAAGGAAGGGTAGGGGGCTGGGGGAAGAAATGTAGAAACATTTTAGCCTGTCTGCTCCTGGTGGGGTGAGGGGGAAGGCTTCCAGGGAAGCCGGGAACAGCCACCACTTCTGCTGCCCCAAGCACACCCCACAGTAATTTCTGCTGCTGTAGTATGACCTGGGCAGATGAGCGTAGCCCCCAGCCAGTGGCTGTGCCTGGGAAAGTAAAGATAATTTCTTTCCTTCCCTCTGCAGCCTCAAGCTCTGCTTAACTTTCTGTTACGTGTTCATTAAATGCAGTCATGTAAGACCGTGGTTAAAGTAGAAAGAGTGGTCTGGCAGGCTTCTAGATCCTCTTGTAGGTTTGAGACCCTAAAACAGGAGAAATAATTGAATGAGTTCATCACTGTGGGGAAGAATAACTCACGAAGAAACTTAGAAAATGATTTGTGTCTCATTGATAGGATTCACTTGAAGATTCCCACTTTGCCAAGAGGAAGGAAGTGTTAATCGGGCGCTGGGTTAGGCAGGACTGACCTGAGCAGTGGTCCTCGAAGATCAGCCTGCGTCACAGCCTCCCAAACGCCCACTCAGGCACAGACCCTGGTCCCTCCCACTTCCACAGTGTCTGACCCAGTACGGCTGCGTGGTGCCCAAGACTGCATTTCTAACAGGTTCCCAGGTGACACTGCTGCTGCTTGGGTACCCCACTTGAGAACCATGGAGATGTGGCTATCAATAACTAACACTTCAGGGACTAAACATGATAAAAGTTTATTTCTTGGGTAGGCAAAGTCCCTTGCAGGCCTCAGCAACCCTCTGACGCTATTATTCTCCAAGGGGTGACTCTGCTATCCTGTGGCTGCACCATCCAGAACACACAGCCTTCTTACTCAGGGGAAGAAATATTGGAGGTGCTCACTCCAACAATTGCATACCTTGGCACAGGAGTGACTTCCTCACTCTCGAAATCCATTGGCCAGGGCTGGTCACATGGCCTCACTGGAAAGTAGGGAAATGTCATCCTTCTGCGCTTGGAAGAAGAGGAGACCCAGATGTGGGTAGGAATTAGAAGTCTCTTTCCCAAGAACAAGTAAGTTTGAACTTAGGAAATAAATTGGATAGAACAAAAAATGAGGAGAGAGGAAGGAAAATTGAAGAAATTGGTGAAATTAGAATAGGATGGTGAAAGGCATGAAGATTCTCTCCTGAAAGGTTAACATTAAGATTGGTTATTTGTCTCATATAGGTTTTAAACAGTCTCAATTTGGGTCAACAAACTCAATGCAATATATATATATATTAAAGGGAACTAAAATTCTCTTCTTTCTAAATGTTTCTGCTTCTGCCTACAAAATGGAATCTTCTATAATACCTCAGAAGTACTGAGGGTAAGTCCCTATTCCATTTTTTATTTGTTCATTCCTATGAAAGAAAGAGGGGTTTCTCTGGTCAGTGAAATTGGGGTGGGGGTGGGGAATGGGTTATTGCACATGTTCAAACCCAAAAAAGTATACAGTATTTTAAGCCATAGGTAAAACTTAGGAGTGATTATTCACCTTAGAAAGACGGTCCACCAATGGAGAGTTCTAAATATTAGAGTTTTCAAAGAGTGGTCAAACTGATACAATATGATATATATATATACCATATGTATATATGTATATGTATATATTTTTAACTGAGCCATCCTGCCATCTGTTGGCTGCTCAGCGGCAGCTCAGCTCGGGCCGGGACTTGAACCACTGTTGCTCAGAGCTCGCACTCTTGAGATATGATGTATATTTTTAAAATTTGTTAACATCTTTCAGGAACATCTATAACTTGAAGAAAAACATAGTTATCAATGAATATCTTTCCTGAGAGGCATGAGACATGTAACTTATTTGGCAGTAATTGACAGAGTGCTCCCATATAATTTGGTGAAATGGGGACAATTGTAATGTTTCAATCCACACATACCTACAAAAAATGGAAAGTCTGAAACAGATGTTTCTCCAGCTCTACTGCTATGGTGCCCTCACTCCACACAAAAAAGGCTGGGCACTCAAAAACGGAGGCATTTATCCACCTTAGAGAGAGGTGAGTAAAGAGAACAGGGGGTGGGGATGGTAAGGAGACTCCCCACACTAGAGTGGGGAGAATGGGCTGATGCATCTGAGGTTGAAACCAGATCAGTGCCCCCCTTGGGTGGCCTCAGCTAACTCACAGGACATCCAGGGGCAGGCCAAGCTCAAGGGAGACCAGCACCTGGAGCAGAGATCCTGCCAAGTTAAATACAGTAGTTCTGATGAAGCATGAGATGCTATAATCCCATTTGGGAAATTCCTAAAAAGTCACAAGGAAGGGAAATGGTTTGTGTTATCATCATGGCTTTAGAGTC